ACAACCCCCAGAGGCCTTGGACACGCCGGAGATGGCCTTAGGACGGCCGACGACGCCGCCAAAACGCCCCAAGAGCGCCTCCAGAGGCCCCTCCAAAGGGCCCCAGAAGCCGAAAACCAAAAACATTTCCCAATGGTTTTTGAAGCATTCTTGCGCTCTCCCATGTTCCGCCTCCCCACGGTCCCCGACCGCGTCAGAGGCCCTTCAGATCGCTCCAAGACGGCCGAAGAGGCCCCCAAGAAAGCCCAGAAACGGCCCAGGAGGCTCCCCAGATAAGTTAAGAGGGCCTCGAGAGCGCCCCAAGAGAGCCCCAAGAGCGACCCAAGAGGGCCCGAAGAGCGCGACATTTCAAGGTCTCCAGCCTGAGAGGCTCCTAGGACGCCCCCAGAGGCCATCAAGAGGCTCCCAAGAAGCCCCGTGAGGCTCCCAAGAGGCCTCCCGGAAGCCCCAATAGGCCTCCAAAGGGCCCCCAGGGAAGCCCCTTGCGGGCCCCCAAGACACTTCGGTAAATCGTGTTTCCCAGATAGCTTTCTGGGAACATGATTCTTTGGGCTTCCGCCCACCGCCCCAACCATGTTTCCTATCGGCTTGCCGACAAGGCCAAAAGGCGCCCCTCGGTAAGCCCCCATAGGCCCCCCTTTTAGAGAGCCGATCAAATCATGCTCCTGGAAAGCTTCCCCTCTATCGCGGAGTAGGCCCGGGGGGGCGGGCCGCTGCCTGTTCCCCCCATCGGTGCCCACCGGGGGTTGCGGGGGGGGTCCAGAGCTCCCGAGGCGGCCCGAGTCTGCCCCGAAGCAGGCCACGACAGGCTACGGGGGTCCCGAAAGTACCCAAGACAGTCTCACGAGGCCCCGAAGACGCCAAGACGCCCTCAAGACAGCCGACGAGGACTTCAACACGTTCCAGGACGGACTCAAGAGGCTCCCCCAAAGGGCCCTGAGAGGCAAGATTCGTTCGTTTTCCGAGTGTTTTGGATTTTGGCGTTCTCGCTTTTCCTGCTTTCCAGCGCTCCTTCACGGCCTCGGAGGCCCTTCCTCCAAGAAGGCCCACAAGGCCCCGACGAGGTCCCCAAGACGGCCCAGGATGCTCCCCAGAACCCAAGTGTGCCCCAAGAGCGCGCCAGGAGAAGGCCCAGAGGGATCCCGAGGCGGCCCGGGCCCGCCCCGAAGCAGGCCACGACAGGCTAATGGAGGTCTCGAGAGGACCCTAGACGGTCCCAAGAGGCCCCGAAGACGCCCAAGATGCCCTCAAGACGGCCGACGAGGACTCCAACACGCTCCAGGACGGACTCAAGAGGCTCCCCAAGAGGGCCCTGGGAGGCAAGATTCACTCATTTTCCGAGTGTTTTTGAAGGATTTCGGCGTTCTCGCTTCCCCCGCTTCCCAGCGCTCCCTCACGGCCTCGCTCGGAGGCCCTTCAAATCGCTTCAAGACGGGCCACGAGGCCCGCAAGAGGGCCCCAAGACGGCCCAGGAGGCTCCCCAAGAGAGGGCCCAGAGGGGGACCGCCAACAAATATTTCGAGGTCCTTGGCCCTAGAGGCCGCCTGTAGGCCCCGGGAGGCCGCCAAGAGGCTCCCACGAAGCCCCGTGAGGCGTCCAAGAGGCCCCCTGGAAGCCCCAAGAGACCCCCAAGGGGCTCCCAGGGAACTCCCAAGAGGCCCCCCAACACACCCCAAGAAATCATGTCCCCAGAAAACCTTCCGGGGACATGGTTCATCATGGGCTCGAGAGTTCCCGGAGGCCTCCAAAGGGCCCCCAGGGAACGCCCAAGAAACCCCCCAACACACCCCAGCAAACCATGTCCCCAGAAAGCCTTCTGGGCCCGCGAGTCTCCGGAGGCTTCGAAGTACAATCACGCTACAGCACAGCTGTCTTGGAAGTTGATTGGGAACATGACTGATCGCCTTCTCGCGGCTCTCCGCAGATCGTTTCGCACAAAGTTGCCCAAGTGCCCTCTTGAACCGACGACGACGACGACGAAACGACGAAGACGACGACGACGACGACGGCGCGCCCCAATAGGCGACGACGACATTACTAATTACGACGACGACGACGACGACGACGGCGCGCCCCAACAGGCTCCCCTAGAAGCCCCCAAACCCATGCTCCCAGAAGGCCTTCTGGGAACCCGATTCGTACGGCCTCCGCCCCCTACACAACCATTTTCCTCGAAGGCCTTTCGGAATGCAGATTGGCATGCGTGGACTGTGGTCCACTACTTCAGTGGAGCAATGAATTCGTCAAGGTCTGGGGCCTGCTAGAACCTGAGCGCGCGCGACGCGCGCCTGATGGTTCTAGCATATATCATATATATATATGATAAATTTACATGCGTGTTTATGTATATGTCTAGAACTGTATACATGTATACTATGTGGGCATCTGCATGTATGTGTATATCCACGCATGTATGTACTGCATGCATGTATATGATGCCATATATTGAGCTGTATTTTATTGTAATGCAATGTAATGCGATGTAATGTGATGTAAAGTAAGGTAATGTGATGTAATGTAATGCAATGTAGTGTGATTAGATGCGAACTGCTGTCATGTACTTTAATTTGATGTGATGTAATGCATGTGTGTACGCATGCATGCATGTAGGTATGCATGCATGTATGTATGTATGCACGTATGCATGTATGTATGCATGCATGCATGCATGAATGTATGTCTGCCTGTCAGTCTGTGTGTGTGTCTGTCTGTCTGTCTGTCTGTCTGTCCGTCCGTCCGTCCGTCCGTCTGTCTGTCTGTCCGTGTGTGTGAGTGTGTGTGTGTGTGTGTGAATGTGTGTGTGTGTGTATGTGTGTGTGTGTGTGTGTGTGTGTGTGTGTGTGTGTGTGTTTGCGTGCGTGCGTGCGTGCGTGCGTGCGTGCGTTTGTGCATGCGTGCATGGTTGTATGTACGCACGCATGTATGCACATGTGTGTATGTATGCACGCGCATACGTACGCGTGCGCATACACATGTATATGCACACCTGTATGCGTATGTGTATATCCATACATGTACCTCCATACATATCTACAACGGTATATGCTCATATCTATATTTGCATAGGTATGTATGTATATATATATACGTATGTGATTGTATGCATGTTTATACTCATCTATATGTGGATACGTCTCGCCCTTGGTCTCGTCAGTCTTAGGAATAGGGATGAGCTCGAGGCTAGACTCTGCGAGCACCAGTGAACCCCTGCTCTACGGGTCTACTCGACGCTGTGGTATCGGATACCCCCGCTGAGGCTCACCTGGCTGCAGACATCCTGTTATTCTGAGCCCCAGCCGGTATTAATAGGTTTCGCAAATGTTTGCCTACCGACGCAAGGCGGCAGCTCGGCCTCGGCGGACGCGCGGGAGCGAGTGCGGTCGTGCTTCTCCCTTGCGAGGGCCCAAAGGGGTTGCATTGCGATGGTGGCAGCACGGTTGGCGATGGCGAGCAGGTGCAGACGCGGTCTTCCCTCGACGGCGCATGCAGGGATGCCAAGCCGAGGCTGAGCGCGCGGCGGAGACCATGCTCGCGGAGCAGGCCTCACATCCTGACGCGTGCAGTGCGTCTGACTGTGACGCCGCCTTCTCCCTCTCGCCCCTCTCTCCGCGCGGGCTGGGCGGCAGGCGACGGGCGCTGGCGGCGGGCCCCTGGCCAGCCTCTGCCCCCTCCTCGCGCTCGCCCTGGCTCTCCGCATCCGTCGTCCGCTCTCGCCGCCCTGGCCGTCGCCTCTCCCAGTCCTGTTCCGCGCCGCGTGCCGCGCGCCGTCCCACCCTGCGACCGCCACGACGCTGGGCGCCTGGCCGCCGAGGCAAGCTGTCTGTGATGTTGGGGGTGGCACCGGCGCGCACGGTGGCTCGACGTGGCTGCTTCGTACTTGTGCACGTGTTCTGCACAGGGCTTTGTGTTGTGTGATTCCTGAGATGTCGTTGCGCACAGTCTGACGCGATCGGCCAGCCGTTGCACATCAGCGCTGCAGGTTGCGGTTCCGAGCGGAATCCCAGCAACAACGGGGTTGACAACTGTACCATGGGCGGAGGGTGATCATCGCATTGTTTTTTGTATTCCAGTTCCACTTGCAAGCTGTCAGTAGGAACACGCAGTGGTGGCACGCGCGGTCGCAGTTCTTTCCGAGTGACGTGCTGACGCTGGCGTACGGCAACTGCTATCGCGCGATCTCACTCCATCAGTGGGGCGAGGAATCATATTCTTGTCCGGTGTTCACAGTGCGACCAGCCCAGGACACCAGGCAGTTTGTATGTCAGGTGTGTGCTTTCGGCGGCCTTCTCCGCACCCTGCTCGCGTCTAGCATCGCGCAATCCACTCTTCTGCGGTGCCGAGGACGCAGCCTGGCACGAGTGCGACGTAATGGGGGGAGCAGTCACCTCTGTTTCTGCTGGTCCTCCGTAGCCTGATGCTGGACTCGTCCAATTTTCCGATGGGCTTCCTCGGTGGACTTCGCCGCGGCGCCAGCTTTCAGCATAGGCCCAGAGTGCGGTGTCCAGATGGCACCCTTTTCCGTGCGACGTTAACTCCTGCTTCTGGTCTTCTTTTTTTTGTTATTCATCTTCCTCTTCATCCTTGTTCTCCTCTTTCTGCCTCTTCTCCCCCTCCTCCTCCTCCTCCTCCTCCTCCTCCTCCCCCTCCTCCCCCTCCTCCTCCTCCTCCTCCTCCTCCTCCTCCTCCTCTTCCTCCTCCTCCTTCCTCCTTACGACCCTCCTCACCCAGGTCATGGGAGCTCTCGCTGGCAGCGATGGGTGCGTGTTCCACGATACATTTCTGATGTCGCCCTCCTCTCCTCTCCCCCCTGTCATTCCTGCTGTCGCTGCGCCTCCTTCTGCTCAACCTCCCCTTTCCCCCTCGTTCTCCACCATCCCTTCCCTCCCTCTCCTCTTTACTCCCCTTCCTCACTCCCTGTCTTGCTCTCCAGTTATTTTTGCTGCTGCTGTTGTTCCTCCCCCCTTCACCCGCTCCTCGCCCCTTCCGCCCCCGTTGGCCAG